AAGTTCTAAGATCTCAGTATAGTTACAACGGCTACCCCACCCTTGGAACCGAAACGCATTACTGCTTCACGGCGGAAATAGGCGGGGTGGTGGTACCTACCCGTGCGGACTCCCAAGAGGTCCTACCACCAGTGATTACGCAAATTATAATTTTGCGGGTTTGATTTTTATTACACGATGTTATTCCTTCACCGTGGAAGTCAATCGTAAACATTTGTTGAGTACGTATTTCATTAGAAAAATTGATACCCGCCTTTACCTTACCCGGGATTCGAACACCGGTGCATCGCTACATACGAATGCACCTAACGTCTTATCCTTTAGGCCACAACAACTTACATATTATTATGACCTGTAGTTGAATTTTAATTTATTCATATCTTTGGTCTTTATATTTTAACATCATGGCTACCACTACAAGCCTGCTGTGCAATTTGCTTTTCACTTTATATATTTCCAGAATAAATAAAAAAAAAATTGTTTACTAATTTACTTATAAATGTTTATGAAATAGATGTAGTAATCATTATTATTTTTTTCAAATTCAATATCCGCTGTATGGTGGTATTAAATACAAATTAAACAAATGAATTTTTTTTATTGCACATCTGTACCATTTGCCTTTCAAACACGGATTCTTTTGTTTGGTCTGCCAATTTAAAATTTATTTTGCAATACTAATGTCTGCCATGAAGGTGACCACTTAGCACTCATGTGGGCTGTATGTGCGTCAGTCTTTGAAGGATGTTGGATAAAAAGTATGTTGTCAGCTAGTGATAAAAATACTTACAGAATTTTTTTTATTATTATCACTATTTATATCAATATGAAACCATGTTTGCAAAACTTGTATTAATAATACATGTCCATGTTTGGCTAAATATGCTTTCAACATATTTAAAGCATCTTGTGATAAGTAAATATCATATTTACATGACCTGTGAACAGAAATGTGCGTGGGCTCACAATAGGTCTTATCATCAATGAAATAAGCACAAGTTAAAAATTTGCTATAAAGGAATAATTAGAAGGGGTACAATTTTATAAGCTTGAATCCTATAATATAGTGTAAAAATTATATCTTGAACAAACACAGTATTTGAAGCTGAAAAAATTCAAATGATACCTGAATGCAGCAATGGATGGTCTAGTTTCAATGTCCTGTAAAGTGTAGATGGATCCAATATCATCAAGTATTTGATTCATGTAATCTTTTTCGGGGGTTTCATTATCTATTGTACCATTTTGAAGTGAATTAAACAGTTGCTCTAGACTATTTGGCCTATACAATGCAGAGGGTAAATTCCCATCAATTGGTTGATGGAAAGATAAATCTTTCTGTGGTAATGTTGCTGAATGTCGTTTCAAAAACACTTGTGCAGCACCTCCGTGTTCCCCACGTAGCATCTCTAGATAAAGATGACATAGCAAAGGGCTCAACAATCCCAGAAGCTCATTTTTTAGTTTCTCGATTCTTATTTCTTTTATAAAGTTGACTAACCTATTAAATAGGATGATAAATGAATTTTATTCAACATGTTAAGGAGGGTGTTATTTATTTTCCAAATATAGTCAAGTGATATGTTCTGTCACATAATTTAGATTAAATTTCAAACACTGGGCTGAAATATTTGGGATAATTTGGAATAAGGAACTTTTAATACTAGTTTACTTAGAATATCATGGTTTTTAAGTATTTGAGTAATTTTTTTGTCATACAGGTCTTAAATTTTTTTAAAGTGTTTTGTATCAGAACATATTACGCAACCAGTGTTTATTATTAAAATTATATATTCTTATAATTTTATCATACTACATGATAGTTTTTGTGAAGAGTAACTACCTGGTGTATTGTATATCGTATTGAGAGGAATCATTGTTGATACATGAAAACAAGATAGAATTTGCACGACTTGCTTCAGACTGTACAATAGTGGAAACTGCCATTTGCTCAGCACTCTGGCAATTTGGGTTATTGTTACCGTAATATTCAGTATCCTGTAAAAATACGTTAATCTTACATTCTGCTAGTACAATCTTAGGATTCCTACGAATTAAATAAATAATTTTTGGCCATGCTCACGGGATAGTTTCGCCTTTCTAGATAGGAAGCCACCGCAGCTTTAATTGCATCGTTTCTTGTCTTCTTTATTAATGACATTATCATTGAATACTTTTAATAAAATAAAACAGAATGTTTTGCGATGTCTCACTTGTTTGATTTTATCACACATTCATTTTATCTGAGCACTGAACTGAATTTATACTCTTTGGTGGACATAATATATTACAATCTACCGTTTTACACGGCCAATACTTATTAGTTAAATTCCTGGATTTGTGGTGTTTTTACGTTTTCAAGGTAGGTACAAATTGTAAAATTTGTAAACAATAAACAATACCACTCACTCTTGTAATAAATCTGTCATTTTTTTTTATTTCGTTTATTGGAGTGGCAAAGGGAACATTTTCCCCACAGCTAAATCATGTTACCTCAAAACCTAAAATATAATCTGTTGTATGAAAAGAGACATGGAATTGAAAATGAAAAGGAAATGCAATTAAACGAAGAGATAAGACAACAACTGTAGGCGTTAGATAGAAAGAAATAAAATATCCTTTATACAATAATTAGTCTCTTTATTAAAGTAAAAAGGCCGTGAACCTTATTCGGAACGCTTAAATTAGGGACCGTTTTATTTTGTTATTTTTTCGTTTATAAGGAAGCTACGAAATTTAAATTAGAACCATCTTTAATTTCTAAGTGTTGTAGATAATGCACTTATTATTTAAAACTAAGTGCTAGGAAGGGTAGAGATAAAAAAATACACGAGTCCCAGTACATGTAAAATTGTTCGTCGCAAAGCGATAAAATTCGGACTTTTTTTTATTTTTATTGGTTAAATGGGTGGACGAGCTCACAGCCCACCTGGTGTTAAGCGGTTACTGGAGCCCATAGACATCCACAACGTAAATGCGCCACCAACTTTGAGATATAAGTTCTAAGGTCTCAGTATAGTTACAACGGCTGCCCCACCCTTCAAACCGAAATGCATTACTGCTTCACGGCAGAAATAGGCAGGGCGGTGAAAACGGTTCCCTCTGTACTTTGTACCGTATGTTCCATGGGGAGTGCTCTGAGGAATTGTTTGAGATGATCCCGTCATCTCCTTTTTATCATCGCACCTCCCGCCATCGGAACAGAGTTCATCCATATTATCTGGAACCGCTGCGTTCATCGACAGTGCGTTTCCAGAGGTCTTTTTTGCCACGTACCATCCGGCTATGGAATGAGCTCCCCTCCACGGTGTTTCCTGAGCGGCTTAACATGTCGTTCTTTAAAAGAGGATTGTGGAGAGTATTAAGCAGTAGGCAGCGGCTTGGCTCTGCCCCTGGAATTGCTGAAGTCCATGGGCGACGGTAACCACTCACCATCAGGTGCGCCGTATGCTCGTCTACCTACAAGGGCAATAAAAAAAAATTAGAATACGGCCACCGTAGAAAGTGGCGGAGTATAAAAAGTAGCGCCAAGATTCGGTAGTGCAGTACCTACTTCGCGGCCCTGACTGTTGCGCCGAGGATTGTGGGTTCGATTTCTTCATCGGGCAAACATTCGTGTGATGAACACGTTTGTTTGCTCTTCTCTCTCTCTAGGTGTTTATTAAATATATGTGTATATATTTAAACGTGTTTAAGTATGTATATCAGTCTCCGGTGTCCTTAAAACAGGGAATTTTAATATAGGGCCAGATGGGCTTGTGTGATTTTTCCGTAATTTTTATTTTTATTACAAATTTATCCTGTTATATTGTTAAACTCAGTGGAATTCACTTCGATTACGACTGCGGTTTTCTTGTGTTTTAGTTATAATTTGCAGCTTAAATTTGGGATTATTTTTTGAACTTGTACCTCATACCTACAAGACAGTTTTCCTTACTATTACACTGTGTACTAAGACTTATGAGGAATCAAAATAAAATAAAATAATTTTGGTTATAACAAATAAAGCGAACATTAATTTTAAAACGAAAATGTAAAATGAAGGTAGAACCTCTATTTTTGGATAAGCCTTATTCATTTTTCATGTCACATAGTATGGAAAACTTTTTTTTTTATATGAATGGCAATTGGCTTCACGGCGGTTTCTTTGATTTCGTCGTGGCCTGAAGAATAAGACGTTCAGCGCATTCGTGTTGAAGCGATGCACCGGTGTTCGAATCCCAAGTGGGTACCAATTTTTCTAATGCAATACGTACTCGACAAAAGTTCAAGATTGACTTCCATGCTGAAGGAATAACATCGTGTTATAAAAATAAAAATCATTTCGGTTTGAAGGGTGGGGCAACCGTTGTTACTATACTTGAGACCTTAACTTATATCTCAAGGTGGGGTTGCGCATTTACGTTGTAGATGTCTATGGGCTCCAGTAACCACTTAGCACCAGGTGGGCTGTGAGCTCGTCCACCCGTAAGCAATAAAAAAAATTCCCATTGTTGTCATTATCAAGTTTAAAAAATATTCGATTTTAATAAGTAGTAGGTATGTATGAACCAAAATGAGATAAGGTGTTCATTTATTTGAAAGCGTAGTCAATTGGTATGAAATAAAATAAAATGAAATGAAATGAGATGAGATGAGATGAAATGAATTAAAGGCTCAGTAAAATGGGGGTTATTCAGTAAGACTTGAGTGGACTTTTTGGGAGGACTCGAGGAATTAGGTCCAACGGCTTTAATTCATTTTTTAATACTTGTACATTTTCACAATTGCAACGTTTGAACTTGAATAAATATTACAAAAAAATAATTCACATAACTTCACTCCTGCGTTCTCGCCAATAGGTCCGAACACCCTATAAAATAGTGTTACGTAATAATACACAACAACTAAGTGCATTTTAAAAGATTTATAGTGACCTCTCTGACATAATTAATACAGCGGCTGCCTCCCCACCAAGGAGTCTTTGGATCTGGGTCATCTAAATTAAGTGTCTGAGATGGGGTCTTTCCGCTGATTAGTATAATAGTTACTACGTAAGGTCTTCCACTAAGCAAATTGCAAGCTGAGGAGATGTTGTTTGTTGTGTTGTTATCTTTCTATTTTAATTTGTGCATTGCTAAAGCGTCATTAAATGATGTTTTATTTACTGGTGAATATGAATTCTTTGATTTAACACATCCGTTCGACAATAATACTGTGTATTGGCCTGATGCAGAAAAATTTATTTTTTCAAAAAAAATTGAAGGATTCACCTTAGATGATAAATCATGGTAAGTTAAAGATCTGAGTAACTAAAGTCGTAGGTGACAATCATTTTAATAAGTAAAATTTAATAAGAAAAATAATAATTAGAACGATGCGGATTAGATCGTAAAGTTGTTAAGGTCAAATAGAATGTCTCATCTGCATTTATCTCCACAGTAATCGGCACGAGTCATCAGCTCCGATCTGACCTTGATATCTGCAAAAGTACCTTTTTTTTATTGCCTTTGTAGGCGGGCGAGCACACGGCTCACCTGATGGTGAGTGGTTACCGTCGCCCATGGACTTCAACAATACCAGGGGCAGAGCCAAGCCGCTGTCTACCGCTTAATACTCTCCACAAGCCTCGTTTGAAGAAGGATATATCATAGCGTTCGGGAAACACCGTGGAGGGGAGCTCATTCCATAGCCGGATGGTAGGTGGCAAAAAAGACCTCTAGAAACGCACTGTGGATATCCACAGTGGCTCCAGGTAGTATGGATGAACTCTACTCCGGTGGCGGGCGGTGCGATGGTAAAAACGAGATGTCGGTATCATCTCGAACAATTCCTTAGGCACTCCCCATGGAACATAAGGTACAAAATACAGAGGGGACCGAAGTCCCTCCGCAGACCTACAGGTTCCAAATGATCCGTGAGAATGGGATTATCGACAATCCGAACGGCTCTCTTCTGTACGGAGTCAAATGGAAAAAACTGGTAGGTATTTGGGAGCCGCGGCCCAGAGATGGGAGCTGTACTCTACGCGAGGCCGGACTTGTGCTTATAAAGCAAAAGTCTTTGTCCAGGCGTGAAGTACCGCTTCGCCCTGTTGAGGACTCCCAGCATTTTGGACGCCAACTTGGCTTTGCCTTCCAAATGACTTCGAAATCGCTCAAAATGTCGATCCCAAGTATACCGAAACTCTCAGAAGGTTGCAGGGATACTCCTTGGAATTGCGGCGCCATGACAAAGGGGTCCTTCTTCGTAGTGAACGCGCAAACTTGTGTCTTTAATGGGTTGAATTGAACCAACTTCAATTCACCCTATTCGGAGACTCGCCCCAGAGAGTTCTCCACTTCAGACACAAGTTTTGATCGTCTGTGTTGCACCACGCTCCGAGGGAGACTCTGATGGCCGATATATCGCGCATCCCCCGTGCTGTCATCCGCATAGCAATGCATGCCATCAATAGACAGTATGTCATTGATATACAGGATGAAAAGCGTGGGGGAGAGCACCGAACCTTGTGGAACGCCAGCGTTAATGGTCATGGTCAGCGCAGGCGTCAGCTCAGGGGCGCACGTTTTCAGAACCACTGCAGGGATGTCGTCTGGCCCACTCGACTTATGGACGTCCAGGAGTCGGAGTTCCCGCCTGACTGCACATCGATCGTTTAGATCACATACATTTTTCGATCGGTTTGGAGCACAGACCTATATAGTAGGGACACGACATATTGTTCTATACGTACAATTGCTTATATAAATAGCACCCATTTTGAAGGCACATACATAAACATATATCTATCTCGTTCTTACTCAGCACTTTAACTCGCAGGAAAACAATATAACAGTATTTCAGTGCGTACATAAAATGAAACATGAATAAACGTAAATATCTCCGTCTCCGTCTAATGAGGCCGAAAATCCGCCATGTTTAGCGCGCCAAATGTCATTGTCACGTCAGTTCGGCCGTCTGTTTTGGGTTGTACATTATTTATTGACTTTGATATCGATTTAATATGATTGATTATATAAAATTTCATAATTTATCATGCTTAAAACATACAAAAATAATAATTAAAACGTATTTTATAGGATCTCAAGAAAGTCGATGTCCTAAAACTATTATCTATATGTATTTAAATTCATTATGGAGCCCTCATCCGAAAAATCCATTTTTCGGTCGGAATCTATTGATCATGACACTAATCATAAATACCACTTTAAAATATGTCATCAAAACATATTTAGACATTCTGTTTAGATATTTCGGGAAAAAGGCTACCGACAAAATCTCTTCGGAACTATTTAAATAAAATAGTTTTATTCCGCAGTGAGTAAAACACTATTGTAAATTTGTTAAATATTTAATAATTAAGTGATTTTAGAGAGGAAGTCACAAGGAATGACGTTTGTAATTAATGAATAAATGTTCTGTAGGTGTTTTTTTTTTCACGCGGTCCCTTGATAAGTTTAAAATTTGAATCACTCTCAAGCGAAAGTGATTCAAATGGTGCGGCGCACCTTCCTTGGGGTGCGCTGCGGTAGTATGTTACGGACTTTAGAGTCAGCAAAACAATTAAAATAGATTGTTATAGTCTAAGAAAAACACGTACTCAAAATACGATAACATTTAGCATGCTAGAAATGGGCTGATGGCTTTGAACTACGCCATATCTTTATGTTTTGCGACAAACGACAACTTTATAAAATCAGTGTAGCAACTTTTAAAAATCATCATATCGTTTACTTGGCAAATTCGAAGGACGGACTTGTCTTAGATTTCACCCATCTAAATCATATCATATTTGCACATAACAATATACCTACTTACTTCCCATTAAAGTATAAATTCTACAAATAAATAATACTCAACAATATTTAAAATAAAATGAGCCAAGAACGTTTATCGATTAAACCTGATAACATTGAAATCTTTTGTACAGCACTAAAGCCGCCATGTTTTGTGGCCAGATGACGTCACAGTGGCACGAAATTTTGGTTGACGTTTCATTTCCATAGGTTTCCTACTTCATTGGTTTGGAGGTACGCGGCAAGAACGGGGGTGGCGCCGGCCAAATCGATTACGTGATTGGATCGTCCCGCGTCGCGTCACAAGCCGTCAGTTGTGATTCGTTCTTTGTGTTGTGCTCGCGCATCACTGCAGCAAACTACACTTGCGTGCAATTTTATTAGCCACACATTTTTATCAACCGCATTTAATTGATCCAGGCCCCAACTTCTTATGAATAATTTACTGTGGATGAATGTACACTTAGTATCGCAAGTACATATATTATAGACATGGACCAATCTATACTTCTATACTAATATATAAATCTATACTGGTTTTTACAGATGTTCCGTTGTAACTACTGAACCATGCATACGATTGACTTGAAACCTGGTATCCAATGTAGAAAATACATGTACTTAATGGATAGGCTAATATTTATATGATTGTTGGACTCCCTACATCAGTTGCGGAGTCGTTAATGATGAGAATCTTTGTGGGAGTGAGAAATAATAATGTTAATTTTAAATGACCATCGAAGCGGACGGGTACAGCTAGTACTCGTATAAAAAAATAACTTTAGGTATTTAGTCCCATGTCCATATCCCAAGTCCCATGGCTCTTATTTATAGTAGCAAGATTCTCTTATAAGCTTATCAATTACAAATATGTTTAGGTATATTATTCAAATAGTTTCCCTGGCATCAGCGAAATTAATGAAAATCGTCTAAAATCTAAAGCTTAATAATATTAATTTATGTATATCTTTCATATCCGCCAATACGCGGAAAAAGCAAATTAACCGTAAAAACTCGACAACATAGGTACCTGCTCTACAAAAAAACGGGATGAATTAACCTTTTGAAACACAGTTAAAAATGGGGTTATTTCTAAATATAATATGAACGAAACCCTGGGCAAAACTATTATAAAATTACTAATACATTTTTAAATCCCAAATTGAACGAAGTTAATTTAATTACAAAAAAGGTAATACGTGAGTGAACCATTTGATTTTACCCTAAGTGGACGATGCGCAGACGGCCCCCTGGCTCTTTTATCGAGAGCTCACTCCTGGTGCCTCTTAATATACTAAAGTTGTAAATACCCATCTGAAATGTGGGGGCTAATGGCTCGTCAAAAGGTTTATGTAACTGAGATGTATACTACCTTGGATACTGGATTAATGATAAAATATTAATATGGATCATCAATATGTTTATGACAATCAGTGTTGACGTCAGGGATGTTGTCCCAAATGAAACTTTATTTCAGGCAATTGTATCGAGTACTATTTTCCTGTGTAGTACATGGAAAGCTCTACTGACTTCAATCTATTTCTCAACAAAAAAGTGTTATTATAACATAGATATATTATATGAGATGAGATGTACATAAGTAAGCTTTATGAAATGGTTACAATTCATCTAATCTTTTAGAATTAAGTACACTTCTTCAAACGAGGCTTGTGGAGAGTACTCAACGGTAAGCAGCGGCTTGGCTCTGCCCCTGGCATTGCTGAAGTCCATGGGCGACGGTAACCACTCACCATCAGGTGGGCCGTATGCTCGTCTGGCTACAAGGGCAATAAAAAAAACACTACAAAGCGATGACCCTGCTCTTCTCCCAAATCAAATTATCTCAATCCAGTTTTCACACACTTTTAATTACCAGATTGCAATTTTAAAATAAGTAAATAGTTACCTTTTTAATGGTATTTATGGTATTTCAAAACAAGGATCGCACAAAGGACCCTTATAGTCAGACCGCGACGACGAAGACATAGCGGAAAATACATTGGTGTGTTGATCTGGATTTGACGAGCAACGCGCCGCCCTCGTCGCGGTCGTAGGAGAGGACGTCGCTGCCGCGCGTCGTGGCTACGATGCTCGGTAGCGATACTTATACTCGGTAGCAATACTCGACTTCTGCGAGTCCATCATATCGCAGAAGGAGGTAGTGAAACGAAAGAGGGAGAGCTCTTTCCTTTTCCGCACCGATCCGTCGCCATCGAGCCGGAGATCTGAGGAGACAGTACGAGTGTACGTCCCGGCTCCTTTCGGACGTCTTTGGAGTGTGCTGCACTGTCTGTCTGGTTGAAGTGTTGACAGCGATAGCCCACTATCTCACCCGGGTTCTGACTTCGGGGGATCGGACGCTTGGGCGAGAGAGAAGGGTAGCGCAGGGAAGTGGGTAGGGCCCTAAATTCCATCCTTTGAGCCCGTGGTCCGCTCTTGTGGATCAGTCCCGTATAAAACGCTTCCAAGGCTCGTGGATGCTCGGAAGCCAGCCCGAAAAAAGGGACCCTTAGTTGTAGAGAAACTCATCATCAAACCGATACTGGATTGATCTAATAATTTATTTTTAACAGGTACGCATCTTATGATTTTACTGCAGGAGAACATGGTGGTACACATATTGACGCTCCTTACCATTTCTCTAGTACTGGGAAACGTGTTGGTGAAATAACCTTAGACAGATTGATTGTGCCCCGTAAGTATTTCATAGAACATTTTGATTTTGGTAAATTAAGTTACAGAATGAAAACTATTGTCACGAAAGGGTAATCTGAGCTTAGGAAAAATAATAAAGTCAGCTGGAGTTATATCTGATGAATTAGGTATTTGCTCAATGGTATTTGTCGAGTTTTTGGTTATCAATTTGCTCAGATTGATGGCCTTGTGCGAAGAAGCACTATCGTGGTGCAAAAGTCGAGAAATTGATTTCGACAAATTGGCTCTCTTAAACGCCGTATAACGGTCACATAATATTTGTTATGTGTCGTTTGATCTTCCGGCAAAAATTAGGAGTGCATAAAACCACGATAGTCAAAGCAAACAGTCAACACAATTGCCCGATTAGTCTCCACCCAGCGATAGGCAAACAGGCAAACTGTATGAACGACTGATTCGTAAACGCCTCTGGGGCTTTATCACCTCAAAAGGCATCATCATAAATGAACAGTTTACACTCCGCGCCAAACATTCGTGCATCCAGCAAGTGCACCGCCTTACGGAGCACATCTTAGTAAGACTAAATAGACTAGACCCGTCCCACGGGAACCTCCTTCTTCGATTCGCGAAGGCGTTTGACAGTCTGGTACAACCGTTTAATTTGTAACACATTGTACAACACTGAAGTGCCAGACAAACTCGTGCTCATCATACGAGACTTCATGTCGAGTCCCGCAAGGCTCGGCTCTTTCTCCGCTACTTTTCAGCTTATACATTAACGACATACCCCTGTCGCCGGCGACCCAGTTAGCCCTCTTCACTGACGATACGGCTACTCGAGTATTAAGATGTCGTTCATCCGCAGTAAGCTCCAGATCACAGCCACCAATTTAGGACAGTGGTTCCGGAAGTGGCGCATAGACAATAATCCCACGAAAAACTCTCTCCAGGTCATCCAATCCCGTTTCTGCAGGAAAGCCGTCGGAGCATCGTGGTATGTGAGGGATGTAGATTTTTTTAGCGATTGAATTTTTTGAGAAAATTCAAATCTTTTGGGACTAGCCGAGCGGCATTATATTTCATACCCAAATGAGTGTTTAAAATTATACAGATCGACTCGTGATACAGAAAGTTGGGCGCCTTTCAAACTTGACTGAAGATTTTTAGTCACTATTTCCTTCACTTTTGTGATGATAGCTTCAGTTGCAAAGTGAGGCAAAACTTCCATCACATCTCGACCGCTTTTGAATGCTTTGTAAGCACGTGTTTTTGATAAAGTCTATTCACTGTAAGCCTTCTGTGTGAGCATCGGTAACCACTTAACACCAGGTGAGCAGTGAAATCCTTCACCCATTCAAGAAATTAAAAAAATCATTTTTTTTATTGTCCTGTTAGGCAGACGAGCATACGACCCACCTGATGGTGAGTTGTTATCGTCGCCCATGGACGTTAGCAATGCTAGGGGCAGAGCCAAGCCGCTTCCTACCGTTTAACACTCTCCACAAGCCTCGCTTGAAGAAGGAAATGTCATAGCGTTCGGGAAACACCGTGGAGGGAAGCTCATTCCAAAGCCGGATGTTACGTGGCAAAAAAGATATCTGGAAACGCACTGTGGATGAAAGCAGTGGCTCCAGGTAGTATGGATGAACTCTACTCCGTTGGGTGGCAGTGCAATGGTAAAAAGGAAATGATGTTATCATCTCAAACAATTCCTCAGAGCACTCCCCATGGAACATACGGACAAAATACAGAGCGAACCGAAGTCACTCCGCAGACCAAGAGGTTCCGGAAGTTAGGTACCCGGAAGTTTGTGCTGAGTGACAAGGGCGTCATATATTTTAAGTCACCACGTTTCTAACATATTTTAACTTCATTCATTTATTGTTATATTTCAGTGATAGTAGTGGATGTGAGTTCCATTGTTAATGGCGATCCCAGTTTTGTGTTGTATAAGCATCATTTGGATCACCTTCTGAATGACAATCTAGGAAAACATTGTGTTATAATTTTCAAATTTGGGTGGAGCAAATATTTTAATGAAACTAAACAATATTTAGGATTAACTGAAGCACAAGACACTTTGAATTTCCCTGGTGAGATCTGGAGTCAATATGCTTTTTTTTATTTTGTTAAAATGCTATTTACTCGGATAATGTTTAAGAGTTGTTCCAAATTATAAAAATACTTTTTTACAGGATTAAGTGAAGAAATCGCAGAGTGGATCAAGTCATCATATAAAAATGTGGTGGGCGTTGGTGTTGACGTTGCATCAGTAGATCCCGGCTCTAGTACAGACTTTCCCGCCCACAAAATTCTCTTGCACGAAGGGCTTTATATTATTGAGAACGTCAATATAAATTCCAATATACCTGGTTTGTTTGTTTTTTTTCGAATCTAGTTAGTAGTAAAGTGCATGGCTGGTTTAGAAATTTAATATATACGTCAAAGGATATTACGATCGTAGTATGTTTTATATGTACATAAAATATTTAAACTAATAAGTGTTACTGAGAAATCACTCTTTCTTTTTATTTAGATTAGAACGTACATAAGAATGACATTCACTCGACCTCACCAACCAAACATTAACCGCCTTCGGCTATAGGTGCAAAGCAAATCAATAACTAAAGTTATAATTTCACTTTATTACCTAATTAAGATTATTAACTAAAAATATATGGAAAAACAATGATACTAAAATTACAATTTCTCAAATTATTTTCCTTGATCTTAACAAAATGTCAATTTGGTACATAGACCGTTATATGCTTCCAGCAGTTGCAGCCTTGATTAAGGTCGAAATTACTCGAAATTTAAATTCTATTGTAATTCACTGTTTTTCTCATTTATTTCAGATTACGGATGTACCGCTTTAGCTTTACCTATGAAGATAGCAATGGGAACTGGAGCACCACTGAGACTTGTTGCTATTTGTCCCAAATAAAGATACCGAACCTTATAAAGATTTAAATTTTATTTTAGGAGGATAGTGATGATCGCCCGGAGCACGGTTGTTCCTTGAAAGAACGTAAAGTTATGCTAATTGGCGTAGCAATGAAAACAACCTATAATTTCCCGCGGCCAATACTTTTACGGTTTTGTTTCGTCGTTACTTTTGTCTTTTTAAATTCTGAAGTTCCAGGTGTTAAGTATCACGAATGTCTTGAGCTCTCTGTAATAAAGACAATAATTTGTTTAGGTGATAAGTTATGCCGTTGGTTTAACATGTGAAGCAAGTCTTGAACAAAATTCTCCAAAAATTCTGTTGTGGTCACAAAAATAGTTTAAATGAATGAACCATAGTAGTGCTGGCGGGAATGCAACTGAAGTACGTTATGGGTTACAAGATCGATAATATTATTAAACCTGCGTCTTTAATATCTTTTATGGCAAAGATCTAACACGCAAAGTCAAAGGCCTGACAGATAGCAAGATAACGCAAGAGGTCTCATTTAAATTAAAGGGGGCATCAAAAAATAGAAATTTCATGTCAAATTTAAAATAATTATGAAGTTAATAAAATATATATTACATACATATTCTTGTTTTTTATTTTTTTCAGAAACAATGCTTTTTATTTATGTAATGATGCGTACTTCTATAAAGTGCACATGTGATTTCGTAATAATTTTTTTTGCCCTTGTCGGCAGACGAGTGTACGGCCCACCTGATGGGAGTGGTTACTGTCGCCCATGGACTTCAGCAATACCAGGGGCAAAGCCAAGCCGCTGCTTACCGCTTAATACTCTCCACAAGCCTCGTTTGAAGAAGGACATGTCATAGCGCTCGGGAAACATTTTTTTTTATTGCTTAGATCGTGGATGGGAGCTGATTCTATAGCCTGGAAGCTCTGGAAACGAACTGTCGATGAGCGCAGCGGTTCCAGATAATATGGATGAACTCTGCTCCGATGGCGGGCGATGCGATGATAAAAAGGGGATGAGGGGATCATCTCAAACAATTCCTCAGAGCACTCCCCATGGAACATATGGCACCAAATACAGAGGGAATCGAAGTTCCTCCGCAGACCTAGAGGTTCCAAACGATCCGTCAGAATGGGATTATTGACAATCCGAACGGCCCTCTTCTGTATGGAATCAAATGGAAGAAGCTGGTATTTGGGAGCCCCGACTCAGAGATGGGAGCAGTACTCCATGCGAGGCCGGACTTGTGCTTTATAAAGCAAGTCTTTGTCCAGGCGTGAAGTACCGCACCGCACTGTTGAGGACATGCTGGGACATTTTGGACGCCAGCTTGGCTTTGCTTTCCAAATGACTCCGAAATTGGATATCACTCGAAATGTCGATCCGAAGTATCCCGATACACTCGGAAGGTTGCAGGGATACTCCTTGGAATTGCGGCGCTATGACAAAGGGGTCCTTCTTCGCAGTGAACACGCAAACTTGTGTTTTTAACGTTGAACTTTAACGTTTAGATGGAATTGAACCAAGTTCAATTCACCCCATTCGGAGACTCGCCCCAGAGTGTTCTCCACTTCAGACACAAGTTTTGATCGTCTCTCTTGCACCACGATCTGAGAGAGACTCTGATAGCCGATATATCGCGCAACCCCCGTGCTGTCATCCGCATAGCAATGCATGCTATCAATAGACAGCATGTTATTGATATACTGGATGAAAGGCGTGGAGGAGAGCACCGAACCTTGTGGAACGCCAGCGTTAATGGTCATGGTATCAGAGCAGTCACCGTCTACAACAACCATGATGCTCTGCCCATCCAAAAAGCTAGCGATCCATTTGCAGAGACCCTCGGGGATTTCGTAAGATGGTAGCTTCGACAGAAGTGCCCTATGCCAGACCCTGTCAAAGGTCTTCGCGATAACAAGGCTCGCAGCAAGAGCGTGAGTGAGCGTGACGGAAACCATACTGTCGGTCACTGATCAGCTGGCGATTCTCAAGATATTTCAGGAGTTGTATATTTATTATACGCTCCATCATCTTGCAAAGCAAGGAAGTTATCGCGATAGGCCTATAGCTCGATGGGTCTTCTCGATGGATTATTTCGCTGTGCCAAAACCCAGTGTTCGTTCGGTTCCTCAGACTTCCATTCTCCTTCTGCAGTTACAACCTTCGCCAACAATTTATTTGTCGAACCGACGCCGTTTGGCTCGGGCTTAGATGCCGCCTTATGTTGCATGAACGAGTCGCGCTCTGCTCTCCCTTCTGCACAGGCGCAAACGCATTCCCATTCAAAGCCGTAGTAATGAAGTTCTCGATGACGGGCTCCGCGCACTTATCGCCAGTATCGAGGCCAGTGGCGGTAGCTGTGGTGACTGACGGAGGGGCGTTCATGCTCATGATTTGCAATGTTTACCTCCGCGTGTGAACAATAAGGTTGCCCGATCGGGCTACTGTCTAAGTAATAACTATTCGTTATTATATATACCTCTTATTTTTAGTATTTGTCGAAAGTGACTTTGTTTACAGTTACAGCGAAATTGTGTGAATTGTTTTATTTTGTTAATTTAGTGTTTCTTCAGATTTAAATGTGTAATAACATTTGGTTTAGTAACTGTATAGGAACTGTGAAAGCGCACAAATAAAATGAAAATGAAACAAAGCCGCTAGACATAACTTCTTGGGTTTTTTTAAAGTCTCAGAAATAAGTACCCTTTTACTGAGATTTATATCATCCCATTATATTTCGTTTCATTTAATTTCATGGCAATTGATTAAAGTCTCTAATTAATAAACTTCTAATTATTTTTCATAGAACAGAATATAAAAAGAAACAAGACTTTGCTTTAAAGGTCCGGTTGCTGGTCATAGAATTTCAACAAAGAAATTGAAAGAAAAAAGGGCCCTGATAAATTCTGAATGCCCTACTAACTTTCTTCCGGGTGTATAGACTAATATAGTTTATAAATGACTGGTCCTAGTCAATATTCATAAAATTTACTAATTAGGAGCTGTAATTTTTCAGAGTTCCAATGACTTTATCACAAAAATATATGCTACAATGAAATAAAAATAAACAAAGTATTATAAGATTGTTTTATTTGAAAATGAAATCACACTTTTTTGAATGTGTAGAGAATAAAAATTATCCCTAAAAATAACAAAAAGCTAGCTTCTGATAAAAAAAATAAAATAAACTTAGTTGTCGCTAAAGGCAGACGCCTCAAGGAATGCGGTATTTTTTGTAAGCATTTTGTTTATCAAGACATTATTATCATTTCGTAATTCTACGCAAGGAATGTCGTTTTCGTATTCAATAATTTTAGTTTGAAAAGGACCTTTATCTAACAAGACATCAGTGTATACTTTTACAATCGAATTCATTTCTGCATCCGGACTCAATTGAACATTATATAATTTCGCCGAAATAGTTACAGGAGGTAATTCTGCCCATTCATCTTTGATCTCTCTAACATCTGCCGGGGAGATTACTTCTATGTTGCCGTAATCTACAAACCTTACTTTAATCCTATTTTGAGTAGAACTATATTGTAGTATAGAAGCTCGGTACCACAAATTATCTTCTGGAAATATTGCGATACACGCTTTATTCTCGTATATACCATTTAATGGTGGCCTGTCACCACCTTCACTCTGGACCGAGCTAAATAATTGGTTATACTGCGAAGTTGTTTTATCATCGTGTAATATACTAAGTTCCAATATGTTCGGATCGTTAATAGAAGAAATATTACATCTGAATTCTTCCATTTCGTTTTTAGGGAAAGTAATAATGATATCTTCGTCGATCTCTTCTTCTTCCATCAGCATATTCCAATCTTTTCCTTGAAGTGCATCATATGAATCTTTTGATGTAGCCAGCAGGTCAGGGCTATTTGGTTCTTTTTCAATAATGTAATCAGGGCTCCCGTCGGATTCAACCAAAATTATGTCACCGACGTCTTCATTTAATTTACTTGGAGCAAATCTTTTTATTACTGCTTTTGAGCCATCTACGTATTCCGCCATCTCAAAATCTACTAAATGACTGTTGATCCATAGTTTATTGTATTTCAAATCAACGGGAATCACGCCTTCAACGGGTTCTCCGCATACTTTAACGTAACATTCTTTCTCAACAATTGACTTATGTATGTAGTCAAGGGCATTCCTATCCCAGTGTTTGTCAACTGGTTTAATGCCATGCAGAAAACATTTGTGGGCTTGTACAGGAATCTCATGAAGGGCAATGTTTTTTCGAAGATTTTCAAACGAACATATTTCTTCATTTCCATAGTCGATATAATGTATTAGACACGTTGAGCTCTCTTCATTGACTTCCAGAACCTTTCCCCTATAGAAGCGATTATCTAAGAAAAAAAGAGCTATACAAGGCTCCCCGATGCTCCACTTTGCATATTTAGCTTTATGATCTGGCTTCTTAAAACGGACATCAAGAGCTTTTTGAATAAGTTCCAATGTATCGTTTTGAGATACATCGTGTAAATATATGACACCGTCATTATCGATGTATCTGAAAATTGAATAAAAACAGTCAACACAGGTTTTACCAAGATCGATAAATTATTCGTAATATATATTATTAAATATACTACGACTGAATTTGGAAGTACGAGTTGCAGCAGAGCACTTATTGAAAAGAACGACATACTTCTGTGGTAAATGTAGACTTCCATATCTAGACATCAAAACCATTACGTGGAATTTACTTTGCACAGAAATCACTTTTACAGGATTTGCGTATAGTTATTTTTATAAATTTCAAAGTTCTATAACATTAGACTATAGATTTTAAATTTTAGATAAAATGTTACCCAAAAAATTTTCGATATGATATATGCAACACATTAGTCATCATTACTTTTGGTAAAATTTAACTTTCTGAGTTGAAACCTAACCATATCGTTTTATATGATGATTCATAATAAACTACTTTAAAAATACTTTGTTAAAAAGAGCTATATATAATCTAAGCTACAGTTGTATTTAATAAATGTGCAGGTGTTTGAAGGAATACAACATGGTACATACGTGGGCATAGCAGTAAATTCATGGCTTGGCAACGGTTCAGGTGGTAGCCAATCAGATATAAATACTACTTTAGAAGAGTTAGTAACGGTGACATTGTCATCTTGGTCAATGGGAGTTGATGTTTCGGAGCGGCATTCGGCCGATTTTTTGGGTTCCGAAAAACTTTCTTGGGGTTCTAATTGAAGCCATTCACGAACTGTACCACTGATGTTGAAGATTGCCAAGATTTCGTCTAAACTCTGAGAGTTTTCAGAGTTTGATACCTGAAATAAGACGGATGTGTCAGAATAATGCTATAATTATTTTTCTTTATTTCTTCAGAGTTTTAAAGTTTTTTTTAAACTAGTTTAATTTGAGTATCTAGTGACCGCGAAAATGTTTTTTTCTTAATTTATAATTTAATTAATTTAATTGTGTCCACATTTTGTATTTTAGATTTAATGAGTTCCCGATATTAAGACAGCGGCTTGGCTCTGCTCCGGCATTGCTGAAGTCCATGGGCGACGGTAACCACTTACCATCAGGTGGGCCGTACGCTCGTCTGCCTACAAAGGCATAAAAAAAAAAAA